AGAGTAAAACTTGTGTCAACTTAAGTGGACGTCCACTAAGTTTCTTATCCATTGATGATTACTAGATTGAGCAACATTGTGGATGATCCGCTCCGTTGAACTTGATCTACATATTCTAAAACCCCAACACACCAAATTTGGGGTGAACCCGTTGTGGTTTGACCCTCCGTCGAGCCATGTAAAAAGTTCTATTCATTCGAAACCGTTAAAATTAATACGAGTGGATGAATGGTCAAACTACGACGGGTTCACCCCAAATTTGGTGTGTTGGGGTATATATATATATAGAGCAAAACTTCTGTCAACTTAAGTGGACGTCCACTAAGTTTCTTATCCATTGATGATTACTAGATTGAGCAACATTGTGGATGATCCGCTCCGTTGAACTTGATCTACATATTCTAAAACCCCAACACACCAAATTTGGGGTGAACCCGTTGTGGTTTGACCCTCCGTCGAGCCATGTAAAAAGTTCTATTCATTCGAAACCGTTAAAATTAATACGAGTGGATGAATGGTCAAACTACGACGGGTTCACCCCAAATTTGGTTGGGGTGAACCCGTCGTAGTTTGACCATTCATCCACTCGTATTAATTTTAACGGTTTCGAATGAATAGAACTTTTTACATGGCTCGACGGAGGGTCAAACCACAACGAGTTCACACCAAATTTGGTGTGTTGGGGTTTTAGAATATGTAGATCAAGTTCAACGGAGCGGATCATCCACAATGTTGCTCAATCTAGTAATCATCAATGGATAAGAAACTTAGTGGACGTCCACTTAAGTTGACAGAAGTTTTGCTCTATATGAGCAAAACTTCTGTCAACTTAAGTGGACGTCCACTAAGTTTCTTATCCATTGATGATTACTAGATTGAGCAACATTGTGGATGATCCGCTCCGTTGAACTTGATCTACATATATGTTGATGTACTAGTGATCACACAGTCAATATGTATCCGTGTTTGGATGAGTTTGTTGAGTATTGATGAGAGGCCACCTTCTTCCCCGACTTTTATGTTTGGTTGTTCTTGAGTTGAGAATCTAAAAAATCTACACGTTTAGAAAGTCGTGAGAGGACGCGGCTTGGTACCCCCGTTGTACGATCAGACGATCAAGTTAGGTGATGAACTTGAGTGGAGTAAATAAGAACTGTGAAGTTCTTGTGTGTGTGCAGTATGATTTACAATTTTAGAGAATTTGGACTAGAATCCGGAAATTAGGATATAGAGGGTTAGATCATCCATCCTCTGTAAAGACAGAATAGTACATTTATTTATACCTAGGGTATAAGGGTAGATTAGTCACTTCGGCTGAGCACTGAGAGGCGATGGAGAAGTGTAGGCTGGCGGCTGTGTCAGCACTTTCTTTACAGGTGTCGGCTGGTGATTGGGGGAAGGATCACTTCAGCATTAAATTAACAAGAAGTGAGTGGTGGCATGACGGTGCCCCACG